TTCCTCCCCCAACCACCAACCAGTAACCTCCTTCTACCCTCTCCCCCACCACCAACCAGTAACATCCCCTCTGCCCTCTCCCCCACCACCAACCAGAAACCTACTCTCTGCCCTCTCCCCCACCACCAACCAGTAACCTCCTCTACACCCTCTCTGCCACCACCAACCAGTAACCTCTTCTCTGCCCTCTCCTCCATCACCAACCAGTAACCTCCTCTCCACCCTCTCCCCCCACCACCAGCCAGTGACCTCGTCTCCACCCTCTCCCCCTCCACCAACCAGTAACTTCCTCTCCACTCTTTCCTCCACAACCAGCCAGTAACCTCCTCTCTGCCCTCTCCCCCACCCTCCAACCAGTAATCTCCTCTCCACCCTCTCCTCCACCAACAACCAGTAACCTTCTCCCCACTCTCTCGCTCACCACCAACCAGTAACCTCCTCTCCATCCTCCCCACACCACAGCCAGTAACTTTGTCTTCATCCTCTCCCCCACCACCAACCAGTGACCACCTCTCTACCCTCTCCCCCACCACTATCCAGAAACCTCCTCTATACCATCTCCCCCACCACCAACCAGTAACCTCCTCTCCACCCTCTCCTCCACCACCAACCAGTAACCTCCTCTCTGCCCTCTCCTCCACCACCAACCAGTAACCTCCTCTCCACCCTCTCCCCCAACACCAACTAGTAACCTCCTCTCCACCTCTCTCCCCCACCACCAACCATTAACCTACCTCTGCCCTCTCCCTCACCATCAACCAGTACCCTCCTCTCCACCCTCTCCCTCACCACCAACCAGTAACCTTCTCTACATCCTCTCCTTCACAATCAACCGTAACCTCCTCTCCACCCTCTCCCCCACCGCCAACTAGTGACCTCCTCTCCACCCTCTCCCCCACCACAACCAGTAACCTCCTCTCTACCCTCTCCCCCACCCCAACCAGTAACCTCCTCTCTACCCTCTCCCCCACCACCAACCAGTAACTTCGTCTCTACCCCTCTCCCCCACCACCAACCAGTAACCTCCTCTCTACCCTGTCCCCCCACCACCAACCAGTCACCTCCTCTCTAACCCTCTCCTCCACCACCAACCAGTAACCTCCTCTCTGCCCTCTCCCCCACCACCAACCAGAAACCTCCTCTCTACAGTCTCCCCCACCACCAACCAGTAACTTCCTCTCCACCCTTTCCTTCACAACCAGCCAGTAACCTCCTCTCTGCCCCTCTCCCCCACCACCAACCAGTAACCTCCTCTCCACCCTCTCCCACACCACCAACTAGTAACCAGTAACCTACTCTCCACCCTCTCCTCCACCACCAAGTAACCTCCTCTCCACCCTCTCCCCCACCACCAACCAGTAACCTCATCTCTGCCCTCTCCCCCACCACCAACCAGTATGCTCCTCTCCACCTTCTCCTCCACCACCAACTAGTAATCTCCTGTCTGCCCCTCTCCTCCACCACCAACCAGTAACCTCCTCTCCACCCTCTCCCCCACCATCAACCAGTACCCTCCTCTCCACCTTCTCCTCCACCACCAACCAGTGACCTCCTCTCCACCCTCTCCCCCACCATCAACCAGTACCCTCCTCTCCACCTTCTCCTCTGCCACCAACCAGTAACCTCCTCTCCACCCTCTCCACAACCAACCAGTAACCTCCTCTCCACAACCAACCAGTAACCTCCTCTCCCCCATCACCAACCAGTAACCTTCTCTCTGCCTTCTCCCCCACCACCACTCCACCAATTCTTCAGGTCAAAGGTACAGTAAATGTTGCACTGTGATGGTACTGGAATGAATTACTATAAAACCAAATATTTTGGAGTTTGATGATTAACCCTTTGAGGGTCCAGACGCCCAATCTGAAAATTCTCCACAGGGTCCAAAAAATTAAAAAAAAATCACTATTTTTTCTAATGCAATGGCAGAAAATCTTTTTCCATAGGAAATAAAACAAAAAGTACGAAATCTTATCAAAAATTTACAAAATTACGCTCCCACAAATTTTGATGTGTCAGCAATATTTATGCATCGGCGATTTTGAACAATCTGACTCCTATTTTCAACCAATTACATTGTTCCATTAGACCAAATTCTTAGCTAATTCGCTAGTATGTGTTCCATTTTACTTACTGAGCACACCTCTTCACCCAATCTCTATTTCAACTACCCAATAAAGTGATCAGAAATTGGCAATTTGGCCAATTTCACTCAATACCTTCAATTTTGTTGATTTGTTTAACCTGTACATAACCTGGGACACAGTACCCTATTGATACATTATAACCAGGAAGACAGTGATCCGCTAGTTGATAAAAAGACAATGTTCAACTGCTACATAACAAACAATATAGTGCTAAACTGCTGTGGTAGTTACTAAGAAGCTTTTTATTTTCAAAGGGTTCCTCCTAAAGCCCACATAGAGGTGGCATCATCATTTACAGCAGAAAGGGCCAACAAAATCTTACCTTGTATGGTCCAAGCAAAGAAGAAGCGGGCAGGATTACTGCGTATTTTGTCAAAACGACGGTCTTTTCCAGCCTTTAGTATGCGAGTGATGAGGAACAGCCCTAACCTATTAAATAAAAGCAAACATTTTTCAGTACAAACTTAGTCTTTTTCAGAGCTTCATCTGAACTGTGAGAAAACAGCTACATCTACACTTATCTGAACACAAGATCAAAAATAGATGGACTTGAATACTAGAGGTAGAAAGTACAGTGCCTGCACTCTGAAGGACAGGTGGAGATGTTATGGTCAGAAAATAATCTGATTTACAGTGGCAGCACACTTCTTGGAAAACAGCAGTTGAATGAATAATAAAGAAATTTTTTCTTGGGGGTCACCTTGCCTTGGTGGGAGATGGGAATTTAAACAAAAAAAGCTGTTAAATGGGTGGATGGTAGAGTTAGCAGGTAGCAACAGGGAAGGACTGTGACATGTAGAGCAAAACAAAAGGATAAATTGCATGTATATAGAAATAATAATAATTATTCATTCCTACAGTGCATAAAACAACTGATACAGACTGAATTGGCATCATTGGCATGTTGGGTTCATATTTTGCGGCACTATGGTGCTGACACCTAGTGGCAAAGGCCTACCAATCTCAGCCCACACCATGCTTACCAGGCCTCATTCAGGCAGCTGAGTTCACTCAGTCAACAAGGTTTACTTTGTCACTCTCTCCTAGGCATGGCCTTCCAGGCCTGGGTAACTCAAAAACACTGCCTGTGTACCACAAACCCAAATAAAGCAAGAAGCCTCCGAAGTCTTATCATTCATTCCTGCTACCAAAAGCCATGAATATAAATGGTGGAAGCGGTGGTCACAGTGTGTTGCTGGGAGAGAGGAAGGAAGGAACGAAGATGATGTCTCCACTTCATCACCCCATACAAGAAGCATCCGTCTCTCTATGCTTTATCCTGAAGCAGTGTCAGCAAGTCTCAGCATCTAGACACAGGTACAAGCAGGATCTAGGATAAAACTTGCCAAATTTCCTCAAGAAATCTAAGTGATGTCCCCTGCAACTCCACTCCACAATGTCCCACGCTGTTCTCAGTCATGTGCTCAGCGTCACCTGTTTGTTACTGCCGTTGTTCCAGCTCAGTACGGCTATTTCAGCAAGTCAGAGGTGAGTTTTGCAGTGTTTTCTGCACCCAGTGTGGTAAAATCTGCACTATCTTCCACGTGTGTGGGAAGGGAGGAGGAAGTGGCTTGAGTTCCTCACCTCACCATATGCCATGATGCTCCTACCATAACACTACTCTCCACTACAACCATTCACACCCTCTCTGCTGTTATTCTCTGAATTCAGTGTGAATTCTTTGCCAGAGCTGTGTATCTGAGTACCAGAGGTCACTCGAAGCCACGTGCGAATAAGGCCACGTGGAGCGCGCCACATGGGTTAACAAGCCAGATGTCCCAAGCCACATGCTGTTGTCTGCATCACCATGATGCCCGCATCACTCCCATGACATCACAATGCTGCCCAATGTCACCCCAGGATGTTACCCAGGACGTCTGCCTGATGTCACCTATGACAGCTGCCTGACATCACCCTGGACATATGCCTGGCATCATAGGATGTCACCTTGCAATGTCACCCAGGACGTTTGCCTGACATCACCCTGGGCATCTGCCTGACATCACAGGACATTACCTCATGATGTCACCCAAGATGTCTGTCTGATGTCATCCACATCTGCCTGACATCACCCTGGACGTTTGCTTGACGTCACCTCATTATGCCAACATCACCCACGATGTCTGCCTGACGTCACCCTGGACGTCGTCCTGACATCACCCTGGATGTCTGCCTGATGTCACCTCATGATGTTGTTGTGTACAGGGCAACTACTTAAGCCTGTTTAGCCCTTTCTTGCAACAAATGAACAGGATTGAATATCCTATTCTAAACGAAATCATTCAAGGGTTCAGTAGTAAACAATCACAATGTTTCTTTCCGGTTTTTATTAAGTTTCTTAATAAACCAGAGAAGGGTTTTATATTAACTTTATAAAGGTTGCACCATAAAACACAGTACTCATGAAATTTACACTTGAGTTCACTTAAAAGATAATACACAATATTCTGTCTTGATTATAGTACTGAATGGCTCTATTATCATAAGACATTCACTTCACATAATAACCCTTTGCTTGACTCAATCCCAATGAACCAGAAGACATAACACTTCAATAATAATTCACTCTTTCATAACAAACTAAGTTTTCTAAGGTTCTTTTGGTACAAAATTATTAATTTTTACATTAACATAAATGAACGAGACGTTTCTGTCTGATACCGCTCGAGGTGCTGGAAGGTCACTAGGGAACCTCATGTGGGACCAGAAGGTTAAATCCAGGAATCAAGAAGCTTCTCTCATGAAAGGTGAGAGTGGACTGGACTATAACAGAGTTCTCAGACTGACGTCACCTCGGATTAAGAGGGGTCAGTGGCCAAACAACAGCTGGGTAGTAAACAACTGTACCCATAGTTTAGATCATCGAAACATCCTATCTATTTACACAGCTAAATAAATTAAGGCCAGATAATATTATAAAGTACTCTATCCTCATTTTAGCTACTAATGAGGCTAGAAATAATATAATATTAAGTGAAAAAGGCCGTTACACATACATTATACCTGACCTAGAAGGTTCACAAACAAGGGGCGTAACACCCCCCTCACGCACGACCAAATGTCGCACCAAAAAAAAAAAAATCAACTAAACAATAGTTCACCTATCAAACACAGGATTATCACTAAAAACCTTTCATGACAAATAGTAACATCTTACTCCCTACAATATTCTAGTTATTCTTGTGGGTCTTCATATCCCAATCTTCCTCACGACACCATGTCTCAGAGTGGATCAAGAAGAGGACATAACAAGTCCCACGTCATCACCTCACGACTCATATTAGTATCAGGTGATCTTGGGATTCAGTGTGTTTCCTCAGAAGGGCCAACCGAAGTTGAAAGTTTCAGTGAATACCAATTAGGCCCACAGCTCTTTGTTCTACAATCATTAGAACAAGCACACAACTGCAGATGAAAAACTGAAATATTAAACAAGATAAAAAGAATAGGTTGAGACCCTAGTTTCAGTTCTTAGTACTTCTAAACTCTTAAGGACGGGATAATGCGTCTGCTATAACATTATGCTTACCCTTAATGTGCAAGATTTTTATAGAAAAGGGCTGGATACGGAGAGCCCATCTTTGTATCCTTGCATTCCTAGACTTCATGGAGTTAATGAAAGTAAGGGGATTATGATCTGAAAAGATAGTGACTTTATGAGAAGTTCTGATGTATACATCAAAATGTTCAAGGGCCAATACTAAAACTAATGCCTCTTTTTCTACTGTGGCATAGCTTCTTTGATGGAATTTTAACCTTTCAGGGTCGACAGGCCCTCTCCGAGACTTGTTCTCAGGGTCGGCCAAATTTCAAAAAAAAACAAAAAAAAATTTTTCTTATGAAAAGATAGAGAATCTTTTCCCGATCATAATGACACCAAAAGTATGAAATTTGATGGAAAACTTACGGAATTATGCTCTCGCAAAGTTAGCAGTCTTGACGATGTTTATGCATCGGCGATTTTGCCCACTTTGAGCCCTATTTTCGGCCAATTCCTGTGTACTAATCGACAAAAATCATAACTATTTCGTTAGAACTCCGTTTTGTCTAACTAATGAGTACAAGAAACCACCCATTTACCTATCTCAACTATCCAATACAGTGGTCAGAATTTAGCAATTTTGCCAATTTCACACAAATTTCAAAAGATGCCAATTTACGAATAGGGTCCAGAATAAACAAGAAAAACATTCCTGGCACTAAAATAACATTTCCTCTGTTCATCAGTCATGTCCCCATGCCCCTCTTACATTCTTTTGCTTTCCATTTTGAATTTTTATTCTAACAAAAAAATAGAAGATTTACTGTTATGCAGACTACTGCATTAGTGTAAAAATGGTATAAATAATATCACTGCACTTGTGAAAGAATATTAGACTCACCAGTTGACGTGTATTGGACGCTTAGCATGATTTGTTTACTGTTGAACTTTGGTAAAAATCAAACATTTCTGCTACTTTGAGCTCAATTTCAAGGTACTTTTCATTGTAAAACCAATCAAAATCATCTCAATTTCTGTAATATGTCTTCCATTCTATAAAATGAGACCAGGAAAACTAGAATACAACAATAAATACCATACAAAAATACAGTGCAAATTCGCTGTTTTAATCCAAAAACACGGTCAGTTTTTTTTTCTCATTACACACTGTGTGCTGCAGGATTTTTTTTTATACTGCACACACTGACCACATAGACCCATTCTTTCATATGTAGGCCTACCAGCTTTCTCTCATTAGATTTGAGGGCGCTAGAATTTAGGCATACTAGTACGTCAAAAACCCTGGTAAGCCATACTAGTACGGCCAAAACCCTGAAAGGGTTAATTAAGAGGAATAATAAGCTATGGGATGGAGAATATCAGAGGTTGTCGATGGCTGCAGCAACACAGCTCCGACTGCATAGCTACTGGCATCAATACGCAGAAAAAAGGGGATGACAAAATCGGGGCTACGCAAAGCCGGGCTAGAATTAAGTAAACGCTTTAGCCTTAGGAAAGCTAGATCACACTCAGCAGTCCAATTAAATGTAGCTTTAGCACTAGTAAGTTCACAGAGTGGAGCTGCCACTTGTGCAAAGTTCAGGCAAAACCTTCTATAATAACTGGCCATGCCTAAAAACCGTTGAACCCCTTTTCTGTCCAGAGGTACAGGAAATTCTGTAATGGCCTTAACTTTCACATTCAAAGGTGCAACCGTACCCTGCCCTATCTTAAACCCTAAATACTTTATCATAGCCTGTCCGAATTTGCATTTTGCTAGGTTAACCGTGAAATTATACTTCTCCAGTTCTTGAAACAGGGCCTCTAGACGGGACAGGTGCAACTCCCACTCATCACTGACAATCACAAGATCGTCCAGGTAGGCCTCTACCCCCCTCAAGGCCATGGGTAAGTTGATTCATCAGTCGTTGGAAGGTGGAAGCCGCG